CACAGTTGAAGGCCGTTTTCGAGAACGTAGTGAAAACTAGTTTGGTGTGATAGTAGGGTAAAAATGCATAATCATCCATTCCAGATATAAGGTGCAATTTGGGGTTCAAACTTTTTGAAAAATAAAGTTTCTCTATTTGTATCAATCCTTTGGTATATTATACTGTAATGTATCAAGGGACAAAATACAAAAAATTGCAAACTAATCTATAACCATTTTGAAATTATTGTTGATTTTACAAGTGTACCTTCATTCGTCAAAAATGATCTCTGAAATGTACGTTTTGTTATGAAATGTCCCTTTCAAAAAATAATTTGACCTATTGGAATTACCTAATTGTAAAAAATCAATATGCATGTAACATTAGGACAAATGTCGAAGTCAAGGAAAGAAGTCAACTTCTTCAAAAATAGTTTTCCTAGGAACAGCTGATGGTTATTGCATTTACGTATGAAACGACAAATGCAATCTAGGTTCAATAAAATAAACTAGTGTCTTTAAGTTTGTATGATTTATTAATCAGAGAGTCAATTTAAGTTTATTTTAGCTTATGAAGAATTTCAGTTATATGTCTATTCAATAATCTATAAATACCCTACATAACATGTATCAATATGCATAACTTTCGGTTTTTCTTGAAACACCCTGTGATAACGTACATTTCGTTTAAAAACCACAGATTTTGACATGGCAAAATTACACGTCAGTAAAACTGAAAAATAATCCTAAATATGATAGCCTATGATTGTAATTGTAATTTAGATATTAAAAGTGAGAAATGCATAAATCTTTCACTTCTATGTATTTTTAGGACAGATATATGCCAAGGATAACGTACATTTCAACCTCAATATGTAAAACCTCATAGGCATCATTTCACCCAACGTGATAGAATAATTGGTTCATATCAACCTTATTTACTTTAATTTAAACAAACTATATTTCTTGCTAGTTTATTTTTTACCTTTAATTTAAACGTATTACTTAAATAAATATATAGCCCAAGCCCAAGCCCAAACCACATCACATTCCTTTTACTATCACTTTGGGAATTAGAGTCACTTGCCAAGAATATAAGATCCCCTCCTCCTTGTCATGTTAGTAATTTGTTTTTGTACTTATTTATGCTGTACCATAATCATGGAAACATGCATCATGTGATACATTACATATCTTGGAAACAGAAGTACGTTTCACTTTGTGGCTGCTTCACTTTCTTTTTCTTGCTCTTAAACACTAGCGTAGATAACGTACATATCATGCGCATTTTGGGTTGTTTTCATGTGTCCTTATTTATTTTCACAATGATTATAACAGTAGCAACTAAGTCAGTTATAATCTTGTTGCATCAATATTTATATTATCTTCCCAACTTATGGATGCTGAATGTTTGAGTCCCAGCTTTTATAGAGTTTTAACTTAACTGTGTCAGAGCTTGTTCAGTAGAAATAAATATCAACTAATTCTTAGTCATGGGATGTGTTTGTGACCATGTAAGAAATCCCGAGTTATTTACAGATATACTTGGAATGTCTGCACGTTGCCTGTACTAAGAGAGTGGTCAATTTTATGCCTTTGATGTTTTCAACTCCATAAAATGCCTTCGAGACCGTCCATGAAAAAGGCACTCGTCATGTTCGACTTCATGAAAAAAGCATGTCATCATGAATTCTCTTCTTATGTTTAATTTACCCATCCAATAGTGCATTTGATTCTCACAATTTGGAGAAATGTGATAAACTTGTATCAATAATAGGACCAACTACCATTTTGGTCAAACAAACCGATGATGTTTACAAACACCGCTTAGAAATAGACATGCCACCTATTGATATGTACGTTATGTATGACAACGTACATATCCGAGAGATTTATATTACCAGAAAACTTCATAGCAGTGCTATTATGTAGCTTATTCAATAGTTACACATTAACTAAGTTTATCCACAACTTAACTACGCAAAAATTTGCTATTTAAGTTGTGATGTAAGTAATATATCGTTTTGACAAAGTAAGGGGTGTAAATTTTCTCTTATACTCACCTTGATACAAGTAAAAGTTCTCGAAATACACTTCAGTTTAAAGCACAACTGCTGCTAAACAATCTATTAGTTCAAATAAGTCATGATAAAAACAAGAAATACCAAATTTATATATATTATCACACATAATTAGCAAATTTGATAAAACAAGACAACGTACATTTCAAGTCTCGTACATTATCAATTTGTTAGAAGTGATCTTCCAGAGCGAAGCTGGAAGCTTTTCTCAACAGGTTAATGGCTCCTACTTGGTCAGTATCAATGACTTAAAAGTACTAGTGGGTTCAAATCAACTGACCTAATCTCATGTTTGTATAAAGTGTGATAACGTACATATCAAAGAAAAGTATAACTTTTCAAAAATCTTGACTTTAGTAGCTACTGATTGAACCATTATGTAACTGGTACAAAATTGACGTGTTTCGATGCTAGAAATGTTTAAGCCAGTTTGTATGATGAGCATAATCTCAAGCAGCATTAATATTTTAAAATGTTATTGCATGATGCATACCTTGGGGGTGTTGAGCTCCAAAAATAGGCGACACGTATATTAGAACGTCTAGAGAATAGGAAAATCAAGGAAACTGCACCAAATTGATATATATTTAAGGGATCCAGCCATACTATGTGTGTTACAAAATATATAACATTATGATTCATAGTTTTTGAGTAATGATGTGTGAAAGTCAATTTTTGAAACCGGCGACAATAACGTACTTATCATTTTAGCATATATTCGAGTCTGTAAAAAATAAAACAAACGCATTCCGCACGAAATGCCATGTCCCTAAGGTAGGCATAATGTTCAACTAATGAAAACACAAAAAAACTTGGTCAAATCACCTCATCGAGTAAAATATTTACCGGGACCCTAAATTGCACCTTATATCTGGAATGAGTGAATACGGTAAAGGTCGTGTTAGTTTTCAAGATGATGCGGTAACTGTATGATCATGAAGTTTGTAATATTGCTCTTTTTCAAGCCAAAGAGATGCACTTGCCCTTGTGTGCAGTATACATGTCGCTATTTTGCTGTCCACACCTTGTACCTTAAAGTGTATGTTCGCGTTGGTTCAATTCTAGGAGGCCTGCCCTAAGCGGTGGAAGATATCGTTTAACTGTAGCGCATACGCACGATCAAACAAATGATCATATTCCATATAGCCTAATAGATTCTATGTCATATACGTAATTAAGCCTGATTAAGTTCAAATGACGAGGCACCATGTCTACTGTAAAGCAGTTTAATTCGATGAGAACGAAAGTATCGAAATTAACATTTATCGTCTGCCATCTTAAATGCAAAGGTAACGGCCGTTAAGTTCGATTGATACTGACTAGTGGTACTTCAGATGCCCGTTCAGCTTCAAAGTTTCGTGTTTAGAACAACATCGACATTTTAATATTACATGTACATGTACGAGGTTTAATAGATAGTTACAATGTCTGATGTTCCTCGTCTTGTAACAGCCCTTGTGGTTGGTATGGGATGGCGTGGGAAAACTTACTCGAACTTTGCTTTGGATTTTCCTGATAGACTGAAAGTAAGTGTGCATAATTATAAGTAAATGCTATTATCATAAGTCATGATAACTACCCTGAACATGTTCTTTCTGTATTTAATTCTTCGTTGTCTGTAACTTGGCACATATACAGACAGAAATAAGAAGCCATACATTTGGCAAATATTATTATTACATAGAGATCAATAGATAGGAATACCCATAGAAGTTCAGGGTCTGAGGGTGGTCGTTTTCCTCATATCTTTGTCATTTTAGGAAATTACTATCTGCTTTTGACATATTGTACATCATTCAATTTCCTACCAGCCTACCATTTTTCATGACAATCAGACTGATAGTCACAATGTAGAGCACTTAAACAACATGCTCCGGGTGCGACCATCATCGTGCTGTAGGCAAACCTGCACGAATCAATGACCCGACTGCATTCTTCAGCAGGTATGGCCGGAAGGACACGAATGATCTCCCTTTTGAAGTCTGCAATTATCCTTCTATAAGGCCATTCTGCATGACAGGTATATCCAGAATTATGGCAATGTCTATACTTTCTATACATTGTCTATACTTTCTATACTTTCTATACTTTCGAACTGCTTTTTCCTATAACTGTCTTAGACAAATCAGATGTCTATACTTTCTATACTTTCTATACTTTCGATCTGCTTTTCCCCATATAGGTAACCTATATCCAGAATTATGGCAATGTCTATACTTTTTTTTTAATTCACCAAAATCGAAAGTGAACAAGAAACTTATGACGTCACATATTATTATTCCGCTTTTTGACCACCCTGTAGGAGATAAAGATACCCCGCCATTAATGTGGTAGAGATAGCATACCAATAGATGTGGGAAAGATAAGGATACCAATAGACGTGGGAAATATAATGAAACCCATTGACGTGAGAAATATAATTATACCCATACACGTGGAAAATATAAGTTTACTCATAGAAGTGGGAAAGATAAGGATATCAATTAAAGTGGGAAATATATGGACACCCATTGCTGATATGGGGAAGATCAAGTGGCGTAGCTACATGTACCAAAGTAAGAACGTCCGTACTCTTAAAATCAGAAAAATAATATTTTCCATATTCTCGCTCTTCACCCTTTTCTCGACAGTCAATGGATCTGAGTCCCAATAAAGAACCAAATAACTAAAAGATTTGAAGTCATCTTATCCCGAGTAACCCAAGATAATCTGCCGAATCATTGAACGTAGCGACGCAGAACAGACTTAGGAATACATGTTAGTCCCAAAGCGAAATGACACTATGGGGCCACGAATATGCGTGAAGAGATGGTACAAGGCGAGGAACATCCCGATTTCACTAAATGAAACAATCCAACATACCCCTTTACACTTAGTACAACTTTCCACGTGTCTGCACATATCGAAGTATTTGCAGTTCGAAATCGACGTGTGCAGTCATAATTTATTTCTGAGATGCGTGACACAACTGCATGGGAGATTTCTACTAGATTGCAGCACTGATGTCTTTAGAAGTGGGAGAGATATGGATACTCATAGACGCGGAAAATATTATGATCCCCATGAAGTACCGTAAATATCCTGATAGTTCCTGTCCTTGTACAAAATAACTTAGTTATTTAAAACTAAATGCATTTTTACCTCTATAGATAGTTGGCATCGCAGAACCAAGAAAAGAGGTACTCGATCATTGCCAGACTGCCTACAATGTTGCAGACAAGTACTGTTTTCAGAGTGAGAATACCGTTTTTTTCTAAATGCATAACAATGATTTCTTCGATGCAGATGCAGTCGTCTTTCTTCCTAAAAATATACATGTATCATATTGTGAATAAAAATGAAATACATTCCACACAAAGCCTAACATATGTTTTACATACAGTGACATACTACACAGTTTGTTTGATGGCTTCCACCCTATGCAGACAGAGCCTGTGGGAAATATTGGGTGCGGCGCAAATGAGCGGAGGGTGCGGAGCTAACGGTCATTTTTGAATTTAAAATTGGGATATTTCTGAAACTAAGCCGTTTTGGGACTTCAAATATACCAAGATATGTGTATTTGACACCAAATATCAATAAGATTGTGAAAATAGTAGTGCAATTTATTTTATAGCGACGCATTATGCCTTAAACATTTCCAAGACCTATATATTTTGAGAATATCCTTTTAATACTGCGTCCCCAGCATTCATAAAAAATGGTGTTCAAGATACACTACCCATGCAAATTATTTTTGCATCTTGGAAGCCAGACAGTATCTGTGTGATTTTATAAAAATTCGGAAATGTTCTTCAGATATGAGCCCCCTCTAAATATTGGGTGCGGAGGTACGTTTATGGAGCTCCTCCGCACCCAATATTTAGAGGGGGCTCATATCTGAAGAACATTTCCGAATTTTTATAAAATCACACAGATACTGCCTGGCTTCCAAGATGCAAAAATAATTTGTATAGATAGTGTACCTTGAACACCATTTTTTATGAATGCTGGGGACTCAGTATTAAAAGGATAATTTCAAAATATATAGGTCTGGGAAAGGTTTAAGGCACACTGCGTCGCTATAGAATGAATTGCGCTACTATTTTCAGAATTGTATTGATATTTGGTGTCAAATACACATATCTTGGTATATTTGAAGTCCCAAAACGGCTTAGTTTCAGAAATATCCCAAATTTAAATTCAAAAATGACCGTTAGCTTGGCACCCTCCGCTCATTTGCTCCGCACCCAATATTTCCCACAGGCTCTGTCTGCATAGGGTGGCTTCAGAGAGTCACTTTTTCAATCGAATCGAATATCGAATCTATTTAATCTCAGTGCAAATGTCTCGCTTTCAGAGAGCAACCAAGGGGCGACGTTTTATGTAATGTAAAGTTATTTTTCATTAAATTTTAAAATCTGTTGGAGCTGATAGAAACTGACTATATAGATATTTTTCTGATAAACATTATTTTTTAGGTTGGGAAGATGCAGCGAAACTTGAAAAATTTGCTGACTGTGTTATTATATGTACTCTTGAATCCGAACACATGGTAAGACAAGCCTATAATTACATATTGCCTCAAAGTAATTTTCAATGATTTCCTTTTAAATTCTAAAAATATAGTTTTTTTTAATATTGTTCGATTGATATTTTTATCATCCTTGAGAATTTACTTGAAAGATAATATACTGTGTTAATGAGAAATGCCACATTTAAATTGAGAAAGTATTTATGGTAAAATATATGACCGTCTAAAATCACTTGCCATACTGTACCTGAGGCCTCATTATCAGTTGGTCGCAAACTATGTGCGTTGCGACAGCGATCGCAGAACGCAACGCTTGAGTTGCGTCTTATTTTCAGTTGATGTCGATGGTATTAGGTTTGGTATGTTAACGAAGACGCATTTCACATATTTAGTCCCTCGCTTTTGTTACACTGACGATCGGCATTAATATTGCCAATATTACACTGATATTGGTCGTTCGTCAGTGTAACAAAAGCGAGGGACTAAATACGTGAATTGTGTCTTCGTTAACATGTAAAACCTAAAACCATCGCCACACTCTCAAACTAGACTATCTTCATTAACTTCGGGCCAAATTATTATCCACAACATGACTTATAAGTAGGTGTAAATCGGGAAATAAAAAGATCTTACCGAAACCTAGTCCCGGAAGTAGTTCCGCCATGATACACTGACGATACGTCTGTGTAACTAGGTGGGTAGCAGTGAAGAGCAAGAGTTATTAATATGTCTCATTGAAAAAAGAGGCACATATTTTATTGTCTCCGGTAGGTAGTTCTGTTACTGGAGAGGTTAAGCTAACGATGTTTTTCACAACGTAACCGTGAACGCAAAGTACAAAAATTAACAAAGGAATGTATCGAGCGCTCATAGTTTTATGCGCGCTTAGTCTACTTCAGATACTCTTTCAGCTTCAGAGTTTCGCGTTTAGAACGGGAGATTTTACAATTTGACGTTGGGTCAACGGGAACCATTTTACTCGTGTCTATTGAGCAATATGCTGTCAATTTTGATTTCGATGCACAGTTGAATTCTTGCTGAACACGATGATGTATGTCATGCATGATTTAGCGCCAAAAATCTTACGAAACGAGCTCGTTTAAAATATGTATTAGAAAACCAGCTATAAAACCGCATCAATGACATACTATAGAATCATTACACGCTATGGTGTAGTCTAAACAAACACTGGATTTGAACGGCTATTTATATGAGAAGGCTACATGAATTTGTATATGGTCGAGTGATACGTACAGGTTCAGTTTCGATTATTTATGCAAAGCTTAACCTCTCCATTGTGTCAATTGCAATATGATATTTTCCGAGGCCAATATCGTATTTTCTCAAGAAAAATTCTTATATCATCATGATCATCAATAACCTTATTTATGACATTCAATAATATTTTTCTGAAACTTGTTTTGTATGTCGCGACGCAATAACGGTGACATAAAATGATACACCTGAATTTATCGAATGACATTTTCAACTTTTACTAACAATTTTTAAAGTAGGAATAATTATTTGTTATTACTAAAACGGATCATACAAAATATGACATGATAACACAATATCAAGACTCGTGAAATTTTCTGATAATTCTGATACAGGATTTTGGCTGATACTGGTTCTAATACGGGACTTTAGCTGATATGGGATCTGATACGGAATATTTTGAATGCAAGATTTATTCCCAGTTCATTTCCCAGGGAAAAAATGCTAGTGTGGAATAATATGGGTTAATTAGACCCAATACATAATCCCTAGGAAATATTCTACATTCCCTATTGCTACTGAGATTGTCCCCTACGTGCCATTATTTTCTCTATTGCGACAGAGATGATCAAATGGTACAGTCTCATTAGCAAAACAGATTGGTACATCACAATAACTAGCCAATCGGAGGGCTTCATTTTACAGATTATACGAAAATAATTAATGTGAAGGATTTTTCTTTTAAAACCTTGAAAATTCTAAATGAATATGGGAGATGATAATCACAATTTTCCAGAATTTTATTTACGTACTTCACGCCCGGTGATCGTACAAAAATGATGGAGGGGGGGGGGGGGGGGATTAGGCGATTTCTGCAAGAAAACTCAACAAATTTGGAAGATTTGTTTTTTCAAGAAAAAATTTACAACTGAATTGCCAAATGAATAGGCGCAGTGCATGGCAAAATATGTTAGGCTATCTAGTATTTTTTTGAACTGATACCCTTCTAAGATATGAGGTCTATTAAAAAAGCGCATCATCACCAACGTGCAAAAGTCAATGTGTCAATGTTTTTGCTATAAATCGGGCAACAATGCATGACCTGTAATGAATAGGTATAAGGGACGTTATTGTCACAATACCAATGACATTGCTCACTTTTTAAAGTTAGTTTCCATGCGTTATACAAAACATAATCGAAATAAATTAATTTGGGATGGAGGGGGGGGGGGGAATCAGATGGAAGGGGATCACGTGTATATAAGACATGATAAGACGTGCTACTTGAATCTATTCTTATGACTCCAAATTTTCCCATGTTTCATTCTCCAGAGATATAATATCCAGTTTCTTACTGGGGTAATGAGTTTAGTTTTTTCAAATACACGAGTTCTTGTGAATTTGTTCCATCGCAAAGATATATAAATCCCCCCTCCACCCGATCCCCCCCCCCTCCATCACAAATTAATTTATTTCGATTATTTTTCGTATAACGCATGGAAGCTTACTTTAAAAAATAAGCAATTATTAATGTCATACGAATTGTGATAATAACGTCCCTTATACCTATTTCTTACAGGTCGTGTAGACCATTGTTGCCCGATTTATAGCAAAAAATGACTTTTGCACGTTGGTGATGAGGCGCCTTTTTTAATAGATCTCATATCACCCTATGCAGACAGAGCCTGTGGGAAATATTGGGTGCGGCGCAAATGAGCGGAGAGTGCGGAGCTAACGGTCATTTTTGAATTTAAAATTGGGATATTTCTGAAACTAAGCCGTTTTGGGACTTCAAATATACCAAGATATGTGTATTTGACACCAAATATCAATAAAATTGTGAAAATAGTAGTGCAATTCATTTTATAGCGACGCATTATGCCTTAAACATTTCCCAGACCTATATATTTTGAGACTATCCTTTTAATACTGCGTCCCCAGCATTCATAAAAAATGGTGTTCAAGATACACTACCCATGCAAATTATTTTTGCATCTTGGAAGCCAGGCAGTATCTGTGTGATTTTATAAAAATTCGGAAATGTTCTTCAGATATGAGCCCCCTCTAAATATTGGGTGCGGAGGTACGTTTATGGAGCTCCTCCGCACCCAATATTTAGAGGGGGGCTCATATTTGAAAAAATTTCCGAATTTTTATAAAACCACACAGATACTGCCTGGCTTCCAAGATGCAAAAATAATTTGTATAGATAGTGTACCTTGAACACCATTTTTTATGAATGCTGGGGACTCAGTTTTAAAAGGATAATTTCAAAATATATAGGTGTGGGAAAGGTTTAAGGCACACTGCGTCGCTATAGAATGAATTGCGCTACTATTTTCACAATTGTATTGATATTTGGTGTCAAATACACATATCTTGGTATATTTGAAGTCCCAAAACGGCTTAGTTTCAGAAATATCTCCCAAATTTAAATTCAAAAATGACCGTTAGCTCCGCACCCTCCGCTCATTTGCTCCGCACCCAATATTTCCCACAGGCTCTGTCTGCATAGGGTGCATATCCTAGAATGGTATATCAGTTCAAAAAATTACTAGATGACCTAACATATTTTGCCATGCACTGCGCCTATTCATTTGAAAGAAATATTATGGTAAACAATATTTAAGATACCCTGGTCAGTGCTCATTTCGTATTCTTAGCGAATATTCTGGTTCAAACAAGTTTATCAACTCCATCACCAATGCTCTGGGCATTCTATACCTTTGCAACATCTCAGAATCATCTAGTGTATCAATTGGATTGATTCTATCTCGAAATATTCTCAGTCCTATGCGATTGTGGAGTCGATTCAAAAAGAAGTGGAACATGTTTAGCTTTCTTCCCGCCGCTTCCGGAGTGCTATTTGCAGACGATATATCCGATGCGTTAGCATTGTTTGGAAACAAACATGATATTCTTGAAGGATTTACAAGCTTGACAAAATGTATGTTACAATGATATAATATAGATATGATTGAATCATTCCTTCGGTAAAGATATTGTCAACTTAATAGGTAATGAGATGATTCACAAAAAAACACCGGAAAACAACCATTAACATATAAGAAATAGTGTTTAAAGATGCACTACATTTGGGTTTTGATTTGCGGCAGGGTAAAAAGAATAGTACAATAACGTCATTTCTAAGGGCGATATAGTGAAATATTGGACCGAGGGCCGAAGTTCAGTGTAAGTCAAAATGGCATACGAACCGAGTAGAAATATATATATTTCAATGTTAACCTATGACTTAATAATATTAGGGATGTTTAGCTAGACAGTGATATAATAAAACAAATATTTCACTCTATTTTCGGTGAATACCTGTAGCACTTTCACAAGGTGATATTCCACTTGCCCTTCGGGCTTCGTGGAATATCACTTGTGAAAGATGTACAGGTATTCACCGAAAATAGAGTGAAATATTTGTTCAATATTGCTCGTAGAAATGACGTTATTAGTATTATTACCAACGTTAACGACCAGAGGCCTCATTATCCGGTCGACGCACCGCAAATCGCAATCGCAACGTAAATATTTAGCGAATCGTACGCAAAACGATATTATGAGGTCATCTCAAAGGCACTCTAGCGCAAATTCATTGTCGTTTTGCGTCTTTAGCGCAAATCGCAGTTTTCTTATTACACGGTAGACGCATCGCTATTTTCATTTCGCATCGCAAATACACTGCTAACCGCACGCAAATTGGTATTATGCAGTCATCGCACAGTTGCGTCCACGTAAATCAGTTGATTTTTATGTCGCAAACTCCACTTTATTTGCGGCATCCCTGACCCTGCCGC